TTTGCTTTTTCGCTCTTTATCTTACACCTCTCACTGGAGGTAGCACATTCGTTATGTTCCAGTTGGATCGGGTTCTGACGTGTCTCACGCAGAGAAGCAGCCCACACAGTTTAGATCAAAACCCTGGGATGATCCTCAAAGCGCATTATTAATCAAACAATACTTGTGTGAGACCTGCTCAAGATCAGCTCGTTAGAGAAGAGAGTAACACTCTTTGCTTTGTTCTGTGTCTCATTTTGGATGTGATTTTTAGTTTCCTGTGATTAAATGAATATGAGAGTTTCAAACAGTCACTTGTAGGACAGAAACAAGCTTTCGAAACCCTCCCTCATTTCAAGGTTCGTTTTTCTCTACTCTTCATGTCATCATTTTTGTCATGCCTTCGTCCTAATAGCTCACCGACAGATGATTGAACACTATGTTCTAAAGGTTGAACTCATGCTTGAACTCTTGTTCCCACAGGCTTGTGGTTCATGAGAGAGTAGACGATGTCCGATGGTCTTCCGGCTGTAGGGCCCTTTCATTTCCACCATGCAGATAATGCAGACGGAATTGCGGGATCCAATCATAAAAAAGGACGTTACTGTATAACGGAGAATGTCAAAGAACACTTATTGATATATTGGGCTAGTGTCTATGAATCAGGGTTGGGCCATCGATGGTGAGCCGTGAGCCCCCCTCCCTTGCATGTTTCCATGGTGACGCGTCGACTCAACGCAGTCAAAATAGCGCTGGATGACAGATGTAGCGCTTTTATATATAGTTTTTCTTTTTTTATTATTCTAAATATTAACAAACTTACACTGCGTATCTGATATGAATAAAACACGTTGGCAAATACTGTATATTTTAATGGACTGTTACTTCTGCTTCCAGACACCATTGTGTACAAACTATAAATGTATTGTTTTGCTATTAATTATATGTATTTAAATATATATATATATATCGGCCACATTATCGGTATCAGCCGATAAATGATCATTTTTAATGTTATCGTTATCGGCCCAAAAAGAACATTTAGCCGATATCTAAAAGCCGATAAATAATGTATTATTTCCTTCAGCTGATGCACTTTATATGTTCAACATGATGATTTTAAATTGCTTGAAATATGATTGAAATCACTTTATAAAAGGACAATCCAGTTAAAGTGCAAAATGTGCAGCACAAGTCTGTAATATCGGCTACACAACATTAAAATAAGAACATCATAATTGTGTTTGTATCTTGACTTTTAATGAGGAGACTTTTTATAATCAGGCTCTCAAAAATTGTGTAAAAATTTGGATTTAGATTTATCGGCCAATATATCGGTTATCGGCTTTCAAATATAAATAATTATCGGTTATCGGTGATCTTTATCGGTTAACGGTGATCGGTGATCTTTTTCAGTTTTTATCGGTTATCTGTGATCTCAAAAATTGTCTAAAAATTTGGATTTAGATTTATCGGCCAATATATCGGTTATCGGCTTTCAAATATAAAGAATAATCGGTTAGCGGTATCGGCCAAAATTGTCATATCGGTGCATCCCTAATTTAAATGTCTGAAACCTAAAATAATGATCGTGTGGTCTCAAAAATTGTGTAAAAATTTGGATTTAGATTTATCGGCCAATATATCGGTTATCGGCTTTCAAATATAAAGAATTATCGGTTATCGGTATTGGCCAAAATTGTCATATCGGTCTATCCCTAATTTAAATGTCTGAAACCTAAAATAATGATTGTGTGGTTAAAAAACACTGAATAGTTGTGATATATGACGTCCGCCTTTGGCTCAGTGCCATCCATATCTCTGTGCTTATGTCACAGTCACTGTACATTCACTCATTAGTGGTGCTTGCCAAAATCGAAATTGTTGATGAGATATAGAGGAAAATATCTAGTGGGAAATAAGAATGTTGGGTTATGTGAATCAGTGGGTGGGGCTAAAGAGGCAGTGATGTAGAAGTAGGCGGTTTTTCGTCACACTATGTCATACTGAGACAAAATTTGAAACGAGTCTTCTACTTTTTCAGTACAATGACCAAAAGTTTCTTCTTTGACCACTTTAAACTTTCTGGGAAAGAGATTTGGTTAATATCTGATGTGAACAAAACCACAAGCTGCCTCTGATCAGATGTAAATAATTACACAAATAATTACACCATGCGTGCTTTCATGTTTTTTTTTTTATATATTGCGTATGTGTGATAAAGTTCATGGGGTTTGTGCTTGTTACACGTGAGGTGTTGCGGCATGAAATCACAAGCGCGAATCAAATTAAAAAGCTAGCTTACTAAATCACATGGAGAGGGACAGACAGACTGTGTTTTATATAGAGCACTTTACAACTCCTCACTGTAAATGCAGGCTTCATTCAAACAATAGTTTAGTAACATGGATCAAACAATAGATAGACCATCCATCCATCAGTACAGTGGACTGTCTCATATCTCGTACCTGGACATGGCAGGATAGGATGAATTTGGATGTCAGATAAATATACACCTTACTTCCCGATGGAGACAGCATGAGATTTATTTCAGCGATCAGAGAGCTGTTGGCTTTCAACTTGGTGGCTTTAGATCTGTTATCTATATCTAGTGAGCATCCATGCCAGGGCTGTAATTAAAACAAGGTCTCTAGTGGCAATTTGAGACGAAGCTTTTTAAAGAAAGAGCCCCTGCGTTTTCACTCCTAGTCTTCCCAAAGGAAGCTAAACTTTATCTGAATCAGGCATCTTGACTACACTACACTGCTGAATAGACAAAGTACCACACTTCTCTCATCATTTCATATGTTCAATGGATCATTCAGCTGTAGTGTTTTCATTCATACATTTGTACAGTTTTGGCATTAGACCGGTTTGCAGTTGTATCCGTGGTTCTGTGGCCGTTTAGTGGCAATTGAAAAAAAAAAAAAAAGTTTTTTTTTTACACAAAGGGGTCCATTTATGTGAGACTATATTTGAAGCCTGTCCTGTCTAAGTTAATATGTACCTCTGATAATTCTGTTGTAAAACAATAAATTAAAAATTTAAATAAAAAGAAATAACTTTTAACATCTTTATTTATTATGTATCTAGTGTTTATTAATGATTTATTAAAGGAGTAGTTCACTTAAAAAAAAAAAAAAAAAAAAAAAAAAAATTTTGCTAATTTACTCACCCTCATGTCATCCAAGATGTCCATGTCTTTCTTTCTTCAATCTAAAAGAAATTAAGTTTTTTTTCTCCATATAATGGACTTCAAAAAGATTGGACGGTCCAAAAGATAGTTTCATTGCAAACTGTTCAAAGGGCTTTAAACGATTCCAGATGACGAATAAGGGTCTTATCAAGCGAAACAATCAGTCATTTAAAAAAAAAAATAACAAAGTTTAAGTTTTATAAGCACAAACGCTCGCCTTGCTCTGTTCTGTGATGTGCGTTCGTGACTCTCCTGTTCGAACTCGTTCATCAAAATGAACTAATCTTTTTTTCGAGTCATTTGGTTCATTCAACGAATGAAATGAACGAATTGACTTGGAAAAAGATAATTTTTCATAGGGTTTTTTTTTTTTTAATGACCCATCGTTTCGCTTGATAAGACCCTTATTCATCGTGTCGAATTTGTTTAAAGCCCTTTGAACAGTTTGAAGTTTGCAATAAAACTGTCTTTTGGACCGTTTGGTGGCCAGTAAAGTGCATCATATGGAGAAAAATGCTGGAATGTTTTCATCAAAAACCTCAATTTATTTTCGACTGAAGAAAGAAAGACATGGACATCTTGGATGACATGGGGGTGAGTAAATTATCAGCAATTTTTTTTTTAAAAGTCAACTATCCTTTAACATGAACTTACTTAAGTAAAGTGTTTATGCACATTTAGATTATATGTTTTATTTAAATAGATCAAACACCATTATTTATTTATTTTAAATAATAATAATAGCAGGTACAAAGATTGATACAGTATGCGTTAACCCATAAGTTAAAGTGTTTACCGTATCAATGAAGTTCATTGGTGGTAGTTGTTAGTTAAGTACTGGCTGAATTGTAAAGAAACCTCAAAAAATTGCTGAACCATTATGGTAAACTTATTATAACATATAAAATGTGTGTGTATGGATATACAGTATGTTTATTTATTGAGTGCTGTGTGTTATAAGTGCAAGTTTGTAGGTCTGGAGCTTTTCAGTAGCCTACTTCTGCTATCTGCAAAGCTGCTTTTAAAATGTATTTTTAGTAAATCAAATATTACTGTAGGTTGTAGAGGTTTAAGTGTTTTCAGTCATACTGCACTTGCTCTTCAAGTGTGGGAGTTTGCAGTTACTCCTTTGAGCAAACAGATGGTCTGAACTCTGACCTGAGCTAATCAGGCACAAATTTGGCATGTCAAAAACCTGTCTTCAAGTCCTGCGCCTCCAATGCTATTTACATACTCCCAAGCCCAGATTTTCCCGTTTTGTCTTTAGTCCGCGTGACATCCGAGTTCATCCGTCGTCTTTTAAGTTGAAACATTACGACATCACCCCCTCCCCTCAAAACGCTCTTGTTGAAATCAGATTAGATAACAAGATTAACCCCAGCCGAGCAGTGCTAGTCACAAAAAGAACTAGAAGAACTTTTTTTTTTTGCTTCTGGTTCTTACCGTTGCCTTATAATTTTGTGTTGACAATGCTCTGATTGATTTGAGACATTTCAGGAATGTACATGTTAATACCTGTTGTTGCCACTGGAATTCAACAAGATGACAGTAGAAGAAGAAGATGTACTAACCCATTTTTAGAAATGGGTGCAGCAGTGCTTAGCTAACAGTTTTCTGTGTTTCCCCTGTAAACAGCCTATTCGCTGCGGGGATGGTATAGGGATGAGGGAGATTAGCTTTCCATCAAGACGAAGTAGTGGGGAAGAAGAGAAGCCTAGGGTGGTTGCTTTTCTTTGTTAGGCTTTCTGCTGTGTGGCCTTTCCTGTTTGTTTTCCATTTACTGCATTTGAACCCCTCTCAACAAACATCTTTTGGTTTCTCGCAGGTTGACGGCCTACAGTTCCAGCGATCCCAGGCTTGGGGAAATTATTAACCAGAAACCAAGCACAACAGGACACTGGTAGGTTCTGTGGCCTTCCCTCTTGTTGAGTAGCTGAATATGCAGTATGTGACACGCTCCATCAAAAAGAGACATGAGTTGCTATATGGGCCACGTTTGACTGCTTTGGTTTTTGTTGTTTTTGATAAACACAATTCATTACATTTACGGTTCAAGGTCCAAAAGACAGTTTCATTGCAAACTGCAAACTGTTCAAAGTGCTTTAAACGATTCCAGACGATGAATAAGGGTCTTATCAAGTGAAACGATCAGTGATTTAAAAAAAAAAAAAAAAAACTTGCTCGCCTTGCTTTGTTTTGTGATGCGCGTTCGTGACTCTCCTGTTCAAACTCGTTCATCAAAATGAACGAATCTATTTTTCGAGTCATTTGGTTCATTCAACGAACGAAATGAACGAATTGACTCGCAAAAATATAATTTTTCTTTTTTTTTTTTTAAATGAGCGATCGTTTCGCTTGATAAGACCCTTATTCATCGTGTGGAATCGTTTAAAGCCCTTTGAACAGTTTGCAGTTTCAAAGCACAATTCATTACATTATAAAACACAATTGATAAACACAATTCATTACATTTACCTTCATATCTGTTACTTTGCAAAAACTCATATTTAAGTTATACTGTTCACACAGACACACACACACACACACACACAAACATTCTCACTGAATCAGTATAATGCCATTACAGGAAACATAAATCACACATTAATCCCGAAATGTGCTTTTGATACAGAATGACACAAAATGTTTCATGTAGCAGATCGTGTCCCTGGGTAATATATAGTCTACTTCTGTGAGACTTGGCTCAACTTGGCTACCAAATAGGGTCAATGCGATGGCTTCGGGAAAAATTTATTCTTGTGATTTTTTTACATTTTTTGTTTTTAAATGAGGGTTGTGGGAGTGGAGGCCTTGTGTTCAAAAGCCTTGGTATAAATGGCATTTAGTCTAGCCATTCTTAAGAAGGAAATAGGAGACGCACATTCTCTGAATTCCAGCCTACTGTACATCAGGCTGAAAAATGTGCCCCTTCCCAGCAACAAGAGTTTATAATTCCTCCAAATGGAATTCAACACCCTTTGGGTCTACTTGCCAACTTTGATTTGTATTCATGTGGTGTGTGTGATATGCATTCTTCAGCAGGTTATCCCAGACTGACAGATGTCCTGTGCTGGGTTCATGTTTACGATGTCATTTAGAATAGGAGGTGTTTTCTACACCTGTTTGCAGCTAGATTATCCTCTACTGAAGCTTAGCTGTGTCACAAATGAAAACAGAACTCTTCTTTCTTGCTCTCTCTACTGTCCCACAGGCAGCTGCTGTAGATGAAGCATAATTGCAGTGTAATCCTGGCACTAGTTCGAGGGCTTTAGAAAAGAAGAAAAAAGTCGACTAGATAATACCAGCTGTTTTCTGTTGCACAGATGTTGCAGAGAGCACTGGGAAAAAAAAAATGCATTAGTTTCCACAAAATTGTTTAGCAGCACAACTATTTTCAACATATCTAATAATGATAATAATAATAATAATAAATGTTTCTTGAGCACCAAATCAGCATATTAGAATGATTTCTGAATTATCATATGAAACTGAACACTGGAGTAATGGCTGCCATCACAATCAGAGTAAAACCCTACCTTCTGTTCAATATTCTGTTTCACTTGAAAATACGTCAGAGCACTGGAGAAAAGTCGTTTGCAACTTCCTGTTCACGGGGACTTTAAGACATAACCGACTGTCTTTACGATTTTACTCACCAAGACCAGAGTTTCGACATAATTTTGCATGTTTTTGACTGTTAAAGGGTTAGTTCACCCAAAAATGAAAATTAAGTCATTAATTACTCACCCCCATGTTGTACCAACCCCGTAAGACCTTCGTTCGTCTTCGGAACACAAATGAAGATATTTTTCATTAAATTTGAGAGCTGTATCACTACCACATAGACGGCCTAAGGGACTGGCTCTTGATGGCCCAGAAAGTCAGTGAAGAAAATGTTTAAATATTCCATGTGACCACAGTGGCTCAACTATAAGTTTATTAAGCGACGAGAATACTTTTTGTGCGAAAAAACAAACAAAAATAACGACTTTATTCGACTATTCCTTTTCTTCCTTGTTGGCCTGAAACGAGACTTCAATACGACGCATGCGCGAGAATTGCGATCTACTTCAACTATTTCAGTTCAGTTCTCGCGCATGCGTCGTGGAAATCGTATGGAAGTCTCGTTTCATGGCCAACAAGGAAGAAAAGGAATAGTCGAATAAAGTCGTTATTTTTGTTTGTTTTTTTCGCACAAAAAGTATTCTCGTCGCTTGATAAACTTATAGTTGAGCCACTGTGGTCACATGGAATATTTAAACATTTTTTTCATTGACTTTCTGGGCCGTCAAGAGCCAGTTCCTTAGGAGCCTATATGTGGTAGTTAAACAGCTCTCAAATTTAATCAAAAATATCTTCATTTGTGTTCCGAAGACGAACGAAGGTCTTACGGGGTTGGTACAACATGGGGGTGAGTAATTAATGACTTAATTTTATTTTTGGGTGAACTAACCCTTTAAAGTGATATAATCCTGGTTATGTATTTTCTCAAATATGTATTTTGGATCATTTTTAACCTCCCCAAAAAGCTACGAGCTGAGCTTCAATGAGTAGCCGTGAAGTTTCCAGAACTTTCTCCACATTAAAAGTAGCTTAGACCAGAGTGATTTACCTTGTTGGTTTGGTGTTAATAGTTTGACAGGTGGGCTAACCCTTTCCCAGAAGAGGTGTCACTGGTTGATCAGGGAACTTGTTGGTTAAACTAGTTAGAAAAGTCTGCTTGTTGCATCAGTTTTCAAAACATGACACGTTTCTGAACAGCTATGGTGGTGTTCTCTTTCTATTTTGTTAGAAATTCTGAAATTGGTGTTAGAAAGAAACCAGGGCCAAATGTGATAAGCATTTTCTTAGGCGGACTCTCAATGAGTAAGAGGCCCTGTGCCTGTGTTATAGGGCTTCACACTTCAGGGTTAGAGGGGAATTGAGGGAGCTAGAGTTTACTGTTTTTTTTTGTTTTTTTCAGTTACAGTCTAACGTTCTTAACAGCTCATAAATTGCACCTGCTGTGACGCCACTGAGGCCTGATGAACTTCAAGCACACTGAGGGGAAGTGAAGTAAGCAGTGAGATCTGTGTGGGATATTGCTTTTACGTGACTCCCCGTCTCTTTCTTTGAGCTGCCTCCTTTCAAAATTAGAGTGGCTCATAGGGAATACTGAGCGATGTCGCCGGTCCGTATAGCATATTAACCCAATATAGTGCAGCTAAGTCATGTGAGAGTAGCCTACGTACGGTCAGATCTGGACTGAACGTACATCTCACTTATACTGACAGAAGTTTAGTCTGCAGGGCGGGAACTTCCAGGTTATAGAACCTAACAAAGGTAAACGGAGAGGCCCAGCCTGCCGCCACACATATGTCATGAATTGAAATTCCACTGGACCGTGCCCACGACGAGACCATGCCTCTAATGTAATGAGCCCTGACGCGCAAAGAGCAATGCAGACCTTTTGACGCATAAGCTGCTGCCATGTCCACTATCCATCTGGACAGGCTTTGTTTTCGAGGAGGCGAGACCTTTGGTGCACCCACCAAACGAAAATGAAAAGTTGCTCCGAGCGCCTGAAAGGGGCGGAGAGCGTAAAGTAATCAAGCCCACAGCGCCCTGACCGGGCAGAGGAAATTAACATCTCTTTTGCCATCGGATGCAGGCAGAGCTCTCTGAACGGAGTGCCAACCAATTTAGGGACATAGGTTTGAGGACGACAAAGAGTCATTTGGTCTGAACTCATTCGGATTCATTCCTCGGGCTCCTCTAAGGATGACAAGCTCGTTCCTTCCTAGTGATCGGCCTCGCGTCGACTCTGAGAACGCTGCAACGGCCGCCACATAGACTTTAAGTTTGGAGGGGGACCTCCGCTTGTCCAGCAGCTCTTGAAGGAAGCTAAGCAACCGCGAGACCCCACATGTTCATGGGTCCAGATTTTTGGCGGTGCACCATTTGGAGAACACAGACCATGTAGACGCACTTAAAAAGCACGTAAAGGAGGGAAAGCATACAGCTGGGTCAGATTTGGGCCAGTGTGTCCTCTTTATTCGAAAAGAACTTTGGGCAGTGAGTCTTGTCTTTTGACACAAAGAGGTCGACTTCCACTTTGCCAAACAGATGCCATAGCGACTGGACTGTTTGGGGATGCGGAGACCATTCCCCGGAGCAATATTGTCCCCGGACAGCTTGTCTGGGCCGTTGTTCAGATGAACTGGCATATGCACAGTTCTTAGCGAGCGCTGATGGTGCTGAGACCAAAAGAGGAGGCGTTCTGTTAGATCACAGAGGTTCCTGGATCTCAATCTGGATCCGCCTTGACAGTTCACATAGGGCACCACAGACATGTTGTCCGAATGGACTAGAACATGGATGGATGGGAGGAAGAGCTTCAGCGTGTTCTCGACCACTATCATTTCTCGACAGTTTAGGTGAAGGAGCTTCTCTTGGTCTGTCCACAGGCCAAAGACCAGTTTGCTAGGCCTGTCACGATAACAAATATTGCTGGATGATAAAATGTCCAAGAAATTACTGAGATAAATGATAATATTTTCATTCTGAGACCATTTACATCTAATATAATAATAATGGCATAATAATGGAGGTGCACCTTTTCAAAGATCAAACAATCTTTTATTTTTAACGGCTATTTAACACTGAAAATGGAAAACATTTTAAATATCCACAATATGAACAAAACAACCAAAAACAATAAAAGCAATGTCTCTTTTAACAAAAATGCACCTGAATAAATACCAAAAACAATAAATAAAATGGATGTAAACAAAACTCAACTCTAGTCTAAATTATTTGTTATTTAAGCATTAACACACAAACCACTGTTAATTTACCATAAAAGCAAAGTAGAGAGAGAGAGAGAGAGAGAGAGGAGGAGGAGGAGGAGGAGGAAAACAA